GTCCATCACCCACGTTGATCGTGTCCATGGTATATTCTCTGGCTAATCCCTTCGCCTTATATATTTCTCGGTGATCATTAGTCCAAACCCGCCCATGGATTTCTGCATCACACCAGAGCCCAAAAGCCATGCTCAAGAAACGGTTGGGGACACTAAAAGCAAATACAATTTAAATTCCATTTATGACCTATTTTCAATGTCTCTGAACTTGGAAATGTATTACATTTTATTACTGGACAAAATCCTTGCATTTATCCCCATTTCCTCTTACCTCCCTCCATCCCCACTCCCACCCCACACAAACATAAAGGGCCTGTGACTTTAAAAGTCTGCATGTGCCTGCTCAAAGATCCAGACCAATATTATTTCTCCAAGAGAAGAATGAGCCGCGGATCTCACTCCTCCACGACCTCGCCCCCATTTGGTCAGGGCACAGAGGTGGCAGCGAGGATCCCACAGGAAGCTGGAAGCTGGAAGCGGACGTTAGGGCCTGGATTCCAGGTCACACGTGGGCCCTGGAGGTGGGGATCGCTGCTTGATTATTACAGCAAGTGGTAGCAATGAAGCGCAGTCTCTTCTTTCAGGGACTCGCAGGACCAATAGCCACCTTAGAAATCATTTCCATGGGAAACCATCATCGAGGTTTCTACATTTTAAAAAAAGCGGCTTAGTGGTGACAACAGCAGGGTCTCAGTCAGCAGAGTGGCACCGCTCCACGTGCAGAGAAAGACGGAAGGACCCCACTGTGGCCTCTGGTGGAGGAAGGCTATGGGGACTCGGGCTCTGGGACAACAGGCAAACTGTGCAAACTCATGGGGCTCAGCTTCCTCCTCATACGGACTTGTGACAACTGAGTCAATATTGCGTAACGTGCAGCCCAGGGGAGCTCAAGTCAGGCCACATCACGACGGTGTTTTCATGAAGTGTTCGTGTTTTTCTAAAACATTTCTCTATTCCTTTTACTGCCAAAAACAGTTATTTAGATAAAACGATTATGCAGGGCATGCCACTAACCAAGAACAGAAATACACTCAAAACTCTCCCAAAATGAGCCTCTTCTCTCAGAACTCTAAGAAGGGGAGGTTCTGCAGATTCATGAGGCGGAAAATGTAGTGACTCAACCCAGATGGAAATGTATTCTGGTCCATTAACAGATATTTCACAAAGTCAGAAACATAACTAGTAAGCAGAGGTATTGGGAAAACATTCAATTTCTTTAGATAATAAAAAAAAATAAACTTAAACTATAGAACTGTTTTCAACTATCAAATAAACCATAAACATATTTTTTTAAGATATTAGCGAATGCTGCCAAGACTGAAAGACAGCCAGAGTTCTCAGCCGGTGCCAGGGAAGAGCACGCCGGTGCCAGCCCTCAGCAGAGCATGTGGGCGGTCCGGGATCCAGGGCCAGGGAAAGCCTCTGTCCCTCAACCCCGTCATTTCATTTCTGAGAACCTAGACTAAGAGAATTTCTCAAAGCAGGGGCAAGTCACGCCCACCCTCAGGACATGAACACCGTCTCTAAGAGTGAAAAACTACGAGACAAACACTGAAATAAGGAGTAAATAAACTACATGACACCCAAGGGGACGGACTATTTAAGCATTACAAACGATACAGAAAAGATCATCGTATCATCACGTGTACCCCTGACGAGTACAGCTGATGACAACTTCTAAGATGCTGGTGGAGTTCTGTTAGAGGACCCCCTCTGTGTGACCCTGTTGTCTTTATCCTCCCCATCCCCGCAATTTCACCAATAGATGATTTTATTCCCTTTATGATAAGGTTTATCCCTGTCTCATGACAATCTTTCCTCTGCTGAGCTCACTGCCTCATAGCCCACCGTGACAACCTGCTCTGCGCCCTTCTCTTACCCTTTGAAAAGGGCAAGGACTCTTGTTTGAGTGTATTCTCTTCTAAAGGCCAAAGCTACCTCATTGGGCACTTGAGGCAATCACCTCTCCCCGCCTTCACACGCCTCCCTGTGAGTACCAAGTTGCTCAAAGAATCGGAGAAAGGGTTCTGCAGCTTCTGAGCAAGACATGGAAGGAAGTGGCACGAATTATAAGTGGGCCAGTTGGTAGCCTGGAGACCTCAGCTCCGCCCTCCTGGCTCTGTCCTCTGTGTGTGTAAAACTTCCTCCGTTGGCCCTAAACCTTTTGATCAGCAGCAATAAAAAAAGCAAGAGACTTAAACCCCCGACAATAGCGGATGGTTAGCTTGCAGTGCATCTACTTGATGGAATAATAGGCAAGCTCACAAAACAACAATTACGAATGCCAACTATGCTAATGTGGCCAAGGGCCTCCAATGTGAAGAAGAATGGTTACTCAATCGTGTGTTCCCATGAGGACGACCGGATAAAACCGTTTGTGCAGACTGACCAGTAACAGTTGTTGCCTACCAGGCACTATGCCGCCGTGTGGTTAACATGCATTCAAACTTCCCAACAACGCCCTTAGAAGCCTTATTCTCATTTTGGAGAGGAGGGAACTGAAGCACCAGGAATTCTCATTTGATCCTCCCAATGGCTAGGATTTAGAACATTCTGGTAACTTTCCTAAGACCACAGAGCAGGGAGGAGAGGGGTGGGAGAAGGGGCTGGGATTTGGACACTATCTTTCTCCAGTGCCCACACTGCCGACTGACTCCCCGACTGTAAGGAAATATGTCAGAAATTTAAAATGCAAGCATTTGTTTTTTAAAAGGACTTCTTTTCCTTCCCTCTATTGTCTAAACTAACTTTCTAGTGTTCTTTTGTTTTTATTTAAAGACCAAAAAATAAAGGGGGAGGGGGGGACAGAGGAAAGGGCTTTTTTTCAACGCATGTGTTTGTGTGTATGGCTTTTAAAATTATGTTTTGATCAAAAGACTAAATAAATGTCAATCAAGTCTCCACTTGGGGGTTAAGGGTAGGAAATGAGGAAAAAAGGATGGAGAACCGCCAAGACGAGCCTGTCCAAACCAAACCGAACAGTGCCAGGCAGCTGCCCGCACCATCATTTTTTTCTATCGTCTCTTTCCACCGCCCCTTCCAGTCTGCGCATGGATCCTGCAATCGTGGCCCTGGGCTGACGGAGGACACAGAATGTCACAGTGGACGCTGGTATCACAGAGAGCTACTGACAAAGCTGCGAATAAAACAGATCTCAACCCCCCGTCCTGCGTTCTTCCACAAACACATCCTGTGCCGAACTTCCCCTCAACCAGGGACAGTCTGCATGTCCTGGAGATTCAAATACACACCACGTCCTAAAGTGGCCAGTGCCCACATCTGTGCAGCCTTAATAATGCTCTGAGCTGGACAGATCGTGGCGTTCACACATGCTATGTCATGTGAACTCAAATGACGAACGTTACATTTCTAGCAATGTCGAAGCCACACTAGAAACTAGAGAAGGCTGAGGGACACAATACTTGTTTAAGAAATTGCAAAAATAAAAATGCAGCATGGACAGTGGTCTATTCAGGAAAAACCATACGCAACAAACAAAATGAAATCCTCCCCACAAAAAAACAGACTGCCGATCCAGCCCCCAAAAGGTCTGCAGAGCAGGGGCCGGCAGCCAGGATACTGGACCCTCATCCGGGTGATGGGCATCTCGGAGTGGACAGCTTGCCCTCAGAAACACATCATGTGGGGGGGTGGTTGCTAACCGGCTCCAGAGGTGGACTCCACACCCAGTGCTCCTTCCTGGGGGTCAACGGCCTTGGCCTCAAACCCCGGTACCAGCGATGTTCAAAGTCCCCTGATCAGCTGCTCCTCGGCCACTTGCTCAGCTGGCTTCCAGAGAGACAGCAGCCTCGGAGCCACACACAGTCCGCCTGGCAGAGGCCCGCTGCCCGAAGCCCAGGAAAGAGCCAAGAACCACTGTCCAGCAGTGTGGATGCCAGGCAGCCACCCCCTGGACAACCTGGAGGCCGGCACTCCGGGGGTGGGGGGGTGCTTCCCACCTGGCAGGGTGCTCTGACCCAGCTCACGTGGCAGCGCCACACTGTGCGGAGGAAGAGGAATACACGCTCCGGGGCAGGGAGTGTGATCCCTGGACACCTGGCGCCCCTCCACGCATATCCCAGGTGTCTCCTTTCTCATAGATGCCGCCCCCCAATCTGAATCACATGCCTATTTCAGGGGCACTACATGGGGAGGGTCAGATACCCTTGGTCCTGGTGGTGCCCACTTGAAGGATGATGCCCACCCTTCTCGGCCAAGGAAAGGGCAAATGACTATCTAGTCAGGGCCAGCTCCGTGCTGGACACTTGGCACATTGCCTCTCACTTAATTGTCAAGGACACTCCACAATGTACAAGACGTGTGAGAGGTTATCAGCCTGGGCCTGGGATCAGGCGGCCTGGGTGCAAATCCAGGTCCGCTGCTTGCTGGTGGGTGGATCCTGAGGCTCGATAACCTTAGGTCTCAGATTCCTGGTGTGTAAAGCGAAGGCCACGACAGTCCCCCAGGATGGGGGTTAGGAGAGCTCGCCCAGCGCTGTGGCTCCATCGCCACCAAGGCCCCTGTTTCTGCACTGAGACAGGTGGAGAGGACGGGACTGCTGGCCAGAGGCCCACGCCCACCCACTCCGGGCAGCAAAGAGAGCCTATGGGACCTCACCAGATCGGGAACTCCTCCCTCTACCCCAGGATCCCCCCACCCGCTTCCCCGCAGGGCCGGGCACTCACGACACTCCTTCTCGTCGCTCTTGTCGAAGCAGTCGGGCAGCCCGTCGCACTGCCAGGCGCCCGGGATGCACCGCCCGTTGCTGCACATGAAGTTGCCCGGAATGTTGCACTCGTTGGTGAAGTTGTTCCCGGGGAGCAGCTGGCTCTCTGTGGGAGAGAGGGGACAGGGCCATCAGACGGCATGGCGAAGGCGGCAAGGACCTGAGCCCACCCCAACCGAAGGGGGCTCCTGCTTGGTGTGGGCTGGATAGGTGAGACCTCTCTGGGTCTCAGTTTCCTCATCTGTGAAATGGACGGATAAAGTCCCCTGCCCCACCCCTGGGGATTCTGAGAGGACTAAATAGGGAAAAACTGAGAAGTGTGTGTGTGTGTGTGGGGGGGGCAGGTATCTGACCCACGTTAGGCGCTCACTGACTTGTCTTCTTTTCCCAACAAAAAGGCTTGCTGTGAAATACATACATTCTTTCCTGGCCACCAGCAGTGACCAAAGCTGAAGGTTCCCGGATAGGAGTGAGCACTGGACCCCCAAAGCCCCCAACAGCAGGAACTGCCGGCCTCTGCCAGGTCTCAGACTCTGGGACTCTACAATCGCAGAATCCTTGAACTTGGGCCAAGTCAACAGGGATATTGGCAGATAAATTCACTTTAGAACATGGGGGCCCCAGCCCACAAAATCGACCTGCCTGAGGTCAACGAGGAGAAAAAGCCAAACTGAAAATTACACGAAGGCCTCTAACCCCCAAGGTCACTGAACTGCTGGCCAAGCGTTTCTGGAGGTTTAGAGCCAAGCGCCGAGGTTTGGATGCAACTCCACTGAACAGAGTCACAGAGTGCCACGGCCCTCACCCCAAAGCGCTCCCCCTTAAGCTAGAAAGCAAGCAGGGCATGGGAGGTGGGAGGTGGGGGGTGCTGCACTCATCCACTAATGGACTCGGGATGGGTGATTTTTTTCAAGGGAACTAGAATGGAACCCATCTGATGGGCCTGAGCCAGCATGATCCACGGCTGGGAGAGAAGGAGCCATCTAGAAGTAGCACAGTCGTAGGGGAAAAGGGGAAAAGAAGATCCATCCTCCCAGGGCTCCCTCCTGAGTCGTCAATGAGCATTTATTGAACGTGTCTGACCAGACACTTGTGCTAGGTCCTAAAGGTGCAGAGAGATGAAGCCTAGGGCTGGAAGGGCACTAATGCTCTTATTGCCAAGGACTCTGAGGGGTGCCCACACCTGCCTGAGGGTAACGGAGGGCCCATGAGCCTCTTTCACAGGCTTTGCCAAAGAGAAGTATCGCATTCCAGACCCATGACATCACATCTTTCATGCCGCTATTCTTGACAAGCGCTATTATCTTTACTTGGAGAGCCTTTCGACCTGAGGGGTCCCCTAGCAACCCCCTATGCACCTGTCAGCACACAACGTGTGCTGCTCTCCCTCTGAGTGTCCCCTGACTTCTCAGAGCAGAAACGAGCTCTTATTCTTCTGGGTGACTATGGTCCTACTGGGCTGATACTAAACATGTCTGACAACGGGAACAAGTGGGCAACAACCCATTGGAATGAGACAGCCACCGGTGAGCAGAGCCACATCAGCCCCGGGACCGTGGATGCTTCCACAGACCCGCTGCCCTGTGCTGGTGAATGAATAATGGACAGGCAGGTCTCTCCACTAAACACGAGCGTTCAGAGCTCACTGAAGAATTCCAGAAGAGCAGCTGCAGCGAGGGGCCTCCCTCTGCCCCGACTACCCACACCCGAACCCTAACAACCCTCCACATCCCTTCCTCACTCTGTCATTCCCTATGACGGCCAAGCACCAAGTACCGCACACTGGTCTCCATGGCCACAGCCATGACTCCAGCCCAGGACGCCCCATCTCTCACTGGAGTTACTGCCACCATCTCTTGCAACTCGGCCTCCCGGCCACCCCTCCGGCTCCTCTCTGTGGCCAGAAGGACCTTTCTAAAGAGCAAGTCAATCATGACACTTCCTTACTTTAAAAAGCCACTGAATGGTTCCCCACTGTTCTTAAGATAAAGTCAAAATCCCAGGCTCTAAGAAAGGTTGGAGGAGAGAGGCGGCATTGCAGTGGCTGCTGATAGATACAGAGATGGAAGCTAAGGGCCCCTCAGGCCGCGAGACAGACAGCAAAGACACAGTGCAGAGAGCTCTAAAAGGAATGGAGCAAAAAACGAGCAGTGATTGTGGGAACTGCAAACAGATTGTGCCACTATGGCCCCTCTTCCACCAGCAAGTCAGACATCGCTCATCACGGCGCTCTGTCCACTGAGCCCACGCTCACTATCGGATCCCTCTGGAGACAGGAATCCTCGAAAACTACCCCCACCCCGAGAAGAACGTGAAACAAGTTTCCTGTCTCCAGGCAAGGGCTCCAGGTGGCAGAGGGGGACCCACAGGAGAGGAGCCTAGAAGGCCAGGCAGGTGCTGGGTCCTGGCCAGACGTGGAAGATACAACCCAGAAAGCCCCACATGTTCCAGCTGTTTCCCAACCACTGCTCAAGCCCCGCCAGCAGGTAGGGAATTCTTCAGGGCTCTGAATGTAACTGCCATGCTGTTTTGTTAGAAATACCTCCCCTTGCTTTTGCAGCGCTAGCTCCTCTGAGGCGAGCTGCCTGAGAAGTCGCTGCAATGGTGAAATCTTGTTCTGATAAACAGGTTTCCGGAGGCAGAAAATTGGCCAGATTAGATTCCAAAGTGCTTGCTCTGAGAGTCAACAGGCTGGCAGCACACGGATTTGACAAATGAAAGGGTGTGATGCAGGGACGTAAATACCACATCTGTCAAACACAGTTGGCCCTGCCAGCCACAGGGCTCAGGGCTCATGCACAGGTGGCCCTGCAGCCACAGGGCTCATGCACAGGTGGCCCTGCAATCACAGGGCTGAGGGCTCATGCACAGTTGGCCCTGCCAGCCACGGGGCTCAGGGCTCCTGCACAGGTGGCCCTCCAGCAAGGGCTCAGAGCTCTGCAGGCTGACCAGGGATCTCCAGGGCCTGGCGACTGACAACATAGAGGACCATGCTTCGAGGGCTTCTGAATAACTCTATTATGCATGCAGGGGGCACAGATCCTTGCACTTTAGGGAAATGACAATATTGTCAAAATCAAAAGCATCAGGAGAAACCCAGACAATGAGAGGTTAAATCCCATTGATTCTGTCCTCAAAAATCTTCCTCAAACCCACCCAGTGTGCCTCAACCAGATGGTACCAGCCAATTCAAACTGTCCCAACACAGGACAATTTTGCCCCTGAGGGGACAGAGGGCAGAATCTGGAGACTTTGGGGTTCTGGCGTCTAGTGGGTTGAGTCCAGGGATGCTGCCGCCCATCTGCAATGCACAGGGCAGCCCCTCGCAGCAAAGAATCGCCAGCCGAGAATGCCAATGAGGCCGGGGCTGAGAAATCCCAGCTTACACCCACCTCCCAGCGATCACTTCTCAGGGCCCCGGTCCCTTCTCCTCGCAGCAGAGGGAGATTTTAACCTGCTGCTGATGGCTTCTCGGTGCCCTCACAATACATCTGGAGCTCCTGCCACGGTTGACAAGACCCCGTGGGATCCAGCCCGGCCTCCCTCTGAACCTCATTCCCAACCACTTCCTGGAACACAAATGTCCTTCCTGCAGGGAGGCCTCCGCCCATGCTGTTCTCGGACCTCGGTTCTTCCATCCCCTGCCCGCTTCCCCGGTGTTCGGGGCTGAATTGCTTCTTCCCCAAATCCATATGTTGAAGCCCTGACCCCCAGTCCCTCGGAATGTGACTCAATTCAGAGACACGGCCTTTAGAGAGGTGGCTAAGGTAAAATGAGGCCGTGAGGGCAGGCCCTCACCCAATCTGACCGGAGTCTTTCTACAAAGAGGAGATTAGGACACAGACGGCCCTGGGGAATGACCATGTGAGGACGCAGGGAGAAGACGGCCAGCTGCAAGCTGAGGACACAGGCCTCCAACGAACCCAACTCTGCCCACTTTGATCTCAGACTTCTGCCTTCCAGGATGGGGAGAAGGTACATTTCTAGCATGTAAACCAGGGGTGGGGAGCCTTTTTTCTGCCAAGTGCCATGTGGATATTGATAACATCACTCGCAGGCCATACACAATTATCAACTTAAAAATGAGCCTGCTCTATTTGGTCAAACATTTAATGAACTCACCCCTAACGTCTTGGCAGGGCCAGACCAAATGATTTTGTGGGCCTTACACAGCCCTCAGGGCTGGACGGTCCCCACCCCTGAATGGTAAACCACCCACTCCGGGGTACTTTGTTATGGCAGCCCTAGCAAACTAATACATTTGACTAACGTCACTCAGTCTTTCGACAACAGCCTTATGTCACTCATTCTGAGACTGTGTTGACCCAATGGAAAGCTGGTCCCACTTTCCAGTCGGGTATTGTCCCCCGTTTTCCTTTATCTCAGCCTGCGCTGACTGATGTGCCTGTACCATCTCCCCACGGAATGGCACACCCAGAAAGGCATGGCCCACCGCCTCGTCCAGCTAAACATCCTTCACATCTAGTGCTCGGTGGATCCTCCAAGAATATGTGTGGCCGCTCCAAGAAGAAAACCAAGCATAGTTACTGACTCACCCCCACCCCCAGACTCCTCCTTGGAACGTTCTAGCCTCATCCCTCATCCCTCCCGAAGGTGAGTGGGATCTGTACACGTACAGTTAAAAATAAGGCACACGAGGTGTCTGGATCTGTGCAAGTAAATTACCACCCTGTCTGCTTTAAAAGGGGTGAGAAATCTTTTCACCCCGACAGCAGGACTTTCTAGTGGCTGAAATATTTATCCCATCTCAGTGTCTGGGGACACATTCAGAATCCAAAAAGACAAGCATTAGCACGAAGTAGGCTAGCGGGGGTTTCTCCTCCTCCCTTTCCCTTTTTTCATTAAGCTGGAAAATGAAAAAGAGTTGCCCATGTTCACTGCAGCACATCACTTACTTAAAATAACTATACCTTCTCTCCAAGAATGACAAAAAAAAGTCCCCAGTCCTCCCCCGCTGGGCAGAGGCACACAGCCCATTGCAGGAGCATCTACCAAAATTTCTGGCACCCACAAATTTATATCCGATGATGAGGGGGCCAACCTGGGGCAACTGTGAATGCTCAGACAGCTGCTGTGTTAGCAATGTCGACTTTCCCAGCTGAGAAATGGGAATTCCCCGGGAGCAGCTGCAGTCCGCCCCGTTCTCTGCTCTCCCCTGCTCATCGGCCGCCCCGCGGGGCCACCCCTTGTCATGACGCCCTAGAGAACTGACATCTGCAAACCTTCCACGGGCCCCGAGTTCAGATTTCTGCCCAGTCGCCTCTGTTTTGATCCTCTGCTTCCTGACAATCCGGTCTGCAGGCTCCATGAACAACAAAGCAAGACACACAAACACATGCGCCGACACACAGACGGCCTAGCATTCCACTTAGCAGATCTCAAAAAATCTCTTCCCTAAAACCTCTCCGGAGAATGAACACACCTCTTCCCACTGCCTGGTGCCAACAAACACAGTGTCAGGAGGCCACTGCAAACAGCCATCTGTGTTCTCCTTGACTCACTTCTCCACACAACACACACGCCCCGTGCACGGGCACAGGGAAAGCACCCAGGGGGCTGGTCGGCAACCATGTGTTTGCAAACATCCCTGGGAAACCCCCGAAGGTCCTCTCAACTCCAGACGGCTCCGCATGGTGGCATCCGTGTCGGACGGAGGGAGAGACATCTGTCCCCAGCATATCCTAGAGCCATTTGGTTCTCATCAAACAGACTGCTTCCTGCCGGCGTTCTGCTATGCGGAGCGCTCGCCGCCACCAAGAAGGGAGCAGTCACGTGTGCATGTCTGAGCCCAAGTGAGGATGTGCTTCTGGCTCCAAGTACCTGAGCAGAGCCAGGACTCCAGCTCTGTCTAGACTGCACACCGCCCTGCCTGTGAGCTCCTTCCAGCAGCCCCAGCCTCCCCTCACCCATCTGCTCAAGGAGGAGATTGGTGAGAAGGTATAACATGGCTCCTGGGTTCAGTCCAGGACTGGTGACCCTGGGCACTGACCGATTTCATCTTGACACAGACCGTGAAGGACAATCGTGTGTAATGTTACTGCAGGGACATGTATGGGTGGTGTGGGTCACCTGGACAGTGAGTGGGCCCAGCTGTCCGCCCAGCATCTGCACTTCACACAGCTCTCTTCTTTGCTTCTCCCATGCGGTGATCAAATGATAAATGCTCACAAAATGATAAATGCTCTGTTTCCTTCTGAAAACGAGTCAGCAAAGGAAGCCAATGGCTAGTATTAATGAGAAAAGCACAGAGAAAGTGAAAAGGTCTGAAAAGGACAGTTCTTTACCAGGAAAAAGCTCCATAAATTATCTCTGTCCTGTATTTACAGCCTCATTACGGGCCCAAAGCTGTTACTCGCATTCTTTAGTTATGCTTCATCGCGTTTCACGAGGAAAATTATGTCGGAGCAGCATTAACGCCGTGGGGATCTGCACGGCCACGGTCCGCGGCTCAGGGGCTGGAGAGCCACTGGGGAGGATGCTGAGCCTCAAAGGGGAGCATTGAGCCCCGCCCACCCTTCTGCTCCCTTCTCACAGCCTTTGAGAAACCAATCATTATGGACTTTCCACTAGGGAAGATCTAACATCTGCTGAAGCTCTTAACACATGGCAGGAGTTTAACATCAATTCTCTTTATATTCCTTCACAGCTGCGCTATGAACTAGGCACCATGCCCATTGTGCAGACGAGGAAACAGTCTTAAGAAGTAAGAGGACACACTGAAGACATGACATAGGTTCTCATATAAAGAGAGAAAACAATATTGCACAACATTTTTAGTGATGAAATTCAAAATATAATAATTGAGGACAATTTCCTGTAATACAGGTCTACTAAGGAAAAGAATGAAATTCTTTGTAAGGGGGGACAGGATAGGTAACATTTCACTTGATGGAAGTCCAAGTTAGTGCTCCATATCATCAAACTCTATTGTAAAGTTTGCCTTTTTGTTAACCATTTAAAAGTGTTTAAAGTATTCTTAGCTTGGGGCCACAGGCCATAGTTTTCCGACTCATGGGCTAGAAGAGGGCAGGTCCATCTGAAATAACGAAGTACCGATCCAAAGGGACTTCCTCTCTGTCCCACCACACCCACCACACTCTGAAACGATCCCTGAGGCTCAGTGGCTCTTCCCCCACCGCGGAGCGAGGGACCTTGGCCGTTCCGTTCACCTCTGTGTCCTCAACAACCAGCAAGTGCCAGGCCCCCAGCAGACGCGCAGTGAACGCTTGCTGACTGAATGAGGTGGGAACAGAACCTGATGGCTCCTGAGAGTGTGGCCCTTCCAGCACGACACTCTCAAGTTCTGTGAATGGATCTAAACACTGCCTGAATCCATTTCCACAATGAATGGGGCAGTGGGCCTGGGTCTGCAGAGCACTCCTGAGCTCCTGGGAGGGAAGAACAGAAGAGAAGTCTGGATGAACGTTTCTGAGTTCTCCTCTTCCCACACACCCTGTCCTCACCGGGGCCAGCTGCACGTCAGGCCCGGGTGGGAGCCTGGAGCAGAAGCTGTCTCCCGCGTGTTCTCTCTTCAGCTTCACTCAGCAGCAGCAGTAGCAGCAGCAGGAAGTGAGAATCAGGCCGTGAGGCTAGCTGACGAGGACAACCTTATGACGAATTTCATCAGGCTTGCAGATAAGCCAGGCTCAAGAGAGAGCCAATCAGCCCTGCACTTCAGCGCCTCTCAGGGACAGCCACCGGGTCAAGAAGTAAGACTCTGCTCCCACCCAAGTTCAGCCCAGCCCCGTCTGCCCAGGGACGGCTGACACAATTCTCACAGTCACTCCCTGCAAACCGTTCTCTGCCCGCACTCTGCTGCACAGAGATACCCTCACAGGGCAAGTATGAAAAATACCAAAGCAAATCAAAGAATGAGGACAGAAAAACTAAATGAGCTTCATTTAGGCCCCAAAGCATATCTCCCTGAGCTCAGGGCTAAGGATTTCTAGAATAAGGCTCAAAAAAGCACAGGCCATAAAGACTGATAAATACAACCCATGCATTAAAATGTAAAACTCCCAGTCATCAAAAGACACTACAAAGGTCAAAGATAAGCCACTAACTAGAAGATGGTATGATGGTATCTGCTACATATAGAACCCACAAAGAGTGATACCTAGCATTTTCTTTCTTTCTGATTTTGTTTGTTTGTTTGTTTCTAAGAATAGACAGAGAGAGAAGAGAGAGAAACATCAATATAGGAGCATAACATCGACTGGCTGCCTCCTGCACGAGGCTCACTGGGGAATCGAGGCCACAACCGGGCATGTGCCCTGACCAGGAATCGAACCGGCAACCTTTAGGTGCATGGGATGATGCCCAAGCAACTGAGCCACACTGGCCAGGGCTCTAGGATTTTCTCACAAGACTAGGCAAGAAAACACAGCCAACCCAGTGGAAAACTGGACAGAGTGCATGAGCAGGTCTTCTCACTGAAGAGTAAACTCCAAGAGCCACTTAATATACATATACACTCAAGCTCACCTACAACCAAAGAATGATTAATGCAACTGGCAGTTCTCTTTCACACTCATCACACTTACAAAATTCTGAAGTGTGGCCACCTCAAGTGGCAAGATGGTGGGGAGCCACAGGAATCACATGTGCCCACCCGTGGTAGAGGAACTCAAGGGCAGTTTGGCCCTAGCCGCTTTGGCTCAGTGGATAAAGTGTCAGCCTGCAGACTGAAGGGTCCCAGGTTCAATTCCAGTCAAGGGCACATGCCTGGGTTGCGGGCTCCATCCGCAGTAGGGGGCATGCAGAAGGCAGCCCATCGATGAATCTCTCATCATTGATGTTTCTCTCTCACTCCTCCCCCTCTCCCTTCCTCTCTGAAATCAATACAAATACATTAAAAAAAAAGAGGGCAGTTTGGCAATTCCTAGTGCAGCTGGAGATGCAAATGCCCTTTGACCCGGCCAGCTCTCCACACCCTAGGCCTGAGGGGAAACGTGCACAGACAAGACAGAGAACATTCACGGTGGCACTGCTGCAACACGAAACTGCAAGACACACTAAGTGCTCACCAAAAGGAGAATGGATGGAAACTCGGGGTACGCCCACACAATGGAATATCACCCACCCAGCGCTTCAACTTACTGACCGGGGGCGGCATGAAGCGGCAGGGGAAAATCTGAGAAGCCTTGAGCTTAGTAAAAATGCAAACTGTGGAGGCGCAAGTCAATGGATGCCAACGGGTGTACACATAGTTATGAAAACGTGGGAAAGAAAGACACCCAACTCAGGAGACTGGTTACCCACTGGCAAATGGGATCAGAGGTACACAATGAACTTCAACTGGAAGAATTATTTCTTCAAAACCACCTCAAGGGAGCATGACAACTTGGTAGAATTCAACGGAGCTGCGTGGAAGGCAGGCAGGCATGCTTTCTTTGTGTGACTCTTGGTACTTTTCTCCACCCTTTAAAAAATGTTTCATTAATAAAAGTTTATTATAAAGAACAAAAATCATGCTAGCATTTGAGAGAAAAATCTACGACAGGCATACAGAACCTTTTACCTCTAATGTTCCAGCTTCAAAATCCCCATCAGCTATGAAAGAGTGGGAGATAAAAGGGGGCAAGTGTTCACACTGGGATTGAAAGAAAGCACAGGCGAGGACGCCCACCTGGGAGATTCGGTCTATTATGAACTCTTTTCATTTTCCGAAAGGCAGCAACAGTTGCAGAGCAGCCGCGGATCGTGGAGGGAAAAAATAAACACATCTCTCAAGACAGACGTACCCACCCAACCTATTAAGCCATGACATTCCAAAAATAAAAATAGCCAGGCCCAGCCAGAAGGTCAGATATTTTTTAAATACTAACTCCCCGAGACAGCAGGGTGGGAAGAGCTGCAGTAAAGCTCTCTTTCTCAGAATAGTCCGCGCCGTCCGCCTCCTCGGCCCTCAGCATGGGCCTGCAGGAGGCTGAGCAAAGATAGCCTCGCTGCGGCAGCCAAGGCTGGATCTGGCCCGCCCAGTCACAAATGCCAAATGCCTGATGCTCTTATCACTATAACCGGCTGTGTGACTTCAGACAAGTAAGTCACCCTTTCTGAGCTAAAACTCTCCAGTTGTAAAACTAAGTAGCCCTACCTCCCAGATGGGGTGGCTGAAGTACAGAGGAATATGTCTGTCTGTCTTTCTGTCTGTCTATAACAGATAGAGGAATAAAGCAAATAGAATAGGCGGCATATACTTGGGGTCCAATAAATAGTACTGGGATTTGTGACTCCTTCCTTCCCTACTCGCATTTTCCCTGACTCTCCTCAAAATGCTGGTATTGCCAGTGGTGCTCAGACAAGGCTGGGCACCTTTCCCTCCTGGCCTCTGTAGGAAGGGTGCAGCCTGGGTAGATGGGAAGCCTGCTGGAATTGGGGCGGGCTGGCTGAGCCCCCTGGTCACCTAGGTCCATGGGGATAGACACCAGGTATTTTGTTGTTGTTTTTGAAAATATATATATATTTTTATTGATTTCAGAGAAGAAGGGAGAGAAAGGAACATCAATGATGAGAGAGAGTCATTGATCTGCTGCCTCCTGCACACCCCACACTGGGATTGAGCCTGCAACATGTACCGACTGGGAATTGAACAATGACCTCCTGGTTCACAGGTCAATGTTCAACCACTGAGCCATACTGGCCGGGAGACACCAGGTTTTAAGAAGCTCATAACGTGAACCTGGTTGTGTGTCCTCTAATACTACAGTGTCAGTTTGAATATTCCTAAGAAGCAGCCCTGCTTGGACCATTCCTCGGGCTCTTTGACAGCAGTCAAACTGTTAACATGAACCCACCCTTCCAAACCAGGAGGTGATGAAGCAGGTCGAAGACAAAGGCACATGGGATCCCCAACTGGGATCCGGGGGAGTCTCTCACCTCCCTGGCCTCAGTTTCCGCTTGTGTAACCGAGGACAGCAATAGATGACACCCAAGTTCCTCTCCAGCCCTTCTCGTTGGTGGGGACACAGACCAGTTCTCATGGCAGGCAGGCACTCACCAGCTGCCCCTTCTACACGCATTCTTCAGATTTAAACATAATGCCAGGATTTACACAGAGCTCCTCCTCTAAAGAACCAAAATCATCCCTACAAGGCAGGCACTAAAGGTAGT